TCACCGGGATAAAAGGTAGGAAATTTAAGAGAAGGGGAGTAATCAGTGTGAAACGGGGTACATAAGAATTAAATAGGATAGATAGTGATAAAACAGGGTAATGTTTACCAATCTTCGATGTATCGTTCGATATAAAATATGATAGACATGGATCAAACGGGATGCATTGATATTAATTGGGTTGAATGGAGGAAGTTTGAGAAAAGGGGAATAATCATTGCGCAACCGTAAAGATAAGGATAAAACAGGATAGGTAGGGTTATCCTATAGTACCTGTAGGTATAGCGAGAGTATAGACAGATGTGAAACTCCGAAAATCCATCAGGCCTTCAGCGATGCCTCCGCGAATGAAGTTAGGGCACGTTAGCCGGAAACGGGATGGATAGAATAAATCAGGATATATATGGGTAATATAGGATATATAGGGTAATATAGGTAATATAGGATAGGGATAAAACGGGGTGTATTGATATTAACCAGGATAAAAGGGATGCTTGTCGTGCTTGAAGTTTTTGCTGTTTTTGCTGTGTTTGCTGTGTTTGTTGTGTTTGTCGTGTTTAATATGTTTGCTGTGTTTGTTAGGTTTGATGTGTTTAATGTATTCAATGCGTTTGTTGCGTTTGATGCATTTGTCGTGTTTAATATGTTTGCTGTGTTTGTTCTGTTTGATGCATTTGTTGTGTTTGATTTGTTCTTGTCGTGTTTGATGTGCTTGATGTGTTTGATGTGCTTGTTGTGTTTAATGCGTTTTTTGTGTTTGATAAGTTTTTGTGTTTGATGTGTTTGATAAGTTTGCTGTGTTTGATGTGTTCGTTATGTTTCCACTTAACCCCCCTATATTCTATCTTCAAGTGTACAGGGTGTCCCAAAAGTCCCTTCCACCCCTTCTAAAATTTTACATAATTAATATTTTGAAACAAAACTTCAGGAATGTTCAAAGATCAATGTAAGCTACTTTCAGGGCCTATTGGTGCCGATTTTCATCGTATTTTTTCGCTATATTTGTCGCTACAAGTCGGGCTGGCAGGAAAGCAGGAGGAGAAAGCTCCGAGGCGGCTGATCGGCCAATCAGAGTTGATTAGGATTTTCCCCTACTTTCCCCGTGAGCCATTTCAGACTTCAGCTCGCGACGCGTCACTTACGCCAAGAACGCCTCCACGTACATCGTGATTTCGTCGCCACAGCCGTGTTTTATCCTCCTGCTGCTTTACTCCTGCTGCTTTTTGTTGCCGCTGCTATTGCTGCCGTTGTTTCATCCGCTGCCGCTGTGTTCGCTCTTGTCATCGCTCTTGGTAAAACAAGCTTGCTTATTTAGTATTAGACGACTATTTTCTTATTTTAGTTATGATGGTATGAATGAGAGTGTGCATGCCGCCCAACCGCCCCCTTGTCCTTTCCAACCGCTCCCTTTCCCACGTATGTCTACACTTTTGATCCCTTACGCCCCCGCTTGTGAGCTACTACCATGCTAGGCTAGATCTCTAGCATACGTGAGTGAGATAGCGCCAGGTTTCGCCTGGGCTAGCGGCGCAAGCGAGCGTTGCGAGCTTAAGCAGCTAGTTAGATTTTAAATTACTTGAATTTTAAATAAATTAAATGTGTCACGTTTTATAAATTGAGATTAAGATAAAAAAAATCTAATCACACATTGGTGGGTTACAGGTTACACGGAAAAAAAGAGGTAGGGGTTAAGTCCCAACTGTTGGATGATATGGACATTCCCAATTAATTGTGCTAATACCCCGATTATTGGGGTAGTATCCCAATTAATTGTGGTAGCATCCCGATAAATTAGGCTACTAACTCAAATGTTGTGGTACTACCCCAACTTGAGTTGCGGTGCTACCAAAATTAGTTGGAAATGTCCGTTTCATCCAACAAATTGGGGTAGTACCACAATTTTAGGGGATAACCCCTGACACGTTTTCCCGTGTATGTTACATTTTTTTGTTTACTGGATCAAGACCGCCTTCACGCTTTTACCCTCTCACCATAAATTGTGCTGAACACTTATCAAGTGGATTGCCAATCTCTCCAATTCAAAAAAAAAAAAAAAAAAAAAAAAAAAGGCGTTCACCAGACAGGAAAGGATTCCATTTTAGTTCGCCTTAAAGGACTACGTACAAAACGGGCCGTTTGGCTCGGGTCGGATACCTTTGAGACTTGCCCTATTCATTCACCTAACAATGCGCCATCTTTTCCCAAAGTTTCAAGCCCCCCAAAAATTTTGGGGAGACGGGGGGGGGGGTCTAAGTTAAAAACCGGCAAAATTTTCGCGAATTTATTGCTCGAAAACCAAGATATTTTGGAAAACGCGGGTTAAACGATCGTATTCAGCGTGACGACAGCTTTCAGAAAATGTATAACATCATAGGGTTTTGTCAACTTTAGCTCGAGTTATCGCCTCCGAAGCGCCGGAACGCTCAAAAACTCCCCTTATTTTTTCACGTTTCGGCCGATTTAAAAAAAAGCCATTTTTTTATTTTCATGAAAAACTGATATGTTGTTCCTGACTGTCTGTAGCCCCTCTAGCTCTTTACCGCATGCTGGGGAAATGTTTTGGTCGCGAGTTAAAAGAGCGGAAAGGAGCGGAGGTCGGGAAAATCGGCTATTTTAAACTGCGCGCGCGGCGTTGATCGGAGGGAAAACGTCCTCTCCCACTCAGTTCGACGAATCACACTCCTCTGCCGACCTCGCATTGTTGCCACATGCCACCTGATCCGTCGCCGCGCGCAGTTTAAAATAGCCGATTTTCCCGACCTCCGCTTCTTTCCGCTCTTTTATCTCGCGACCAAAACATTTCCCCAGCATGCGGTAAAAAGCTGGAGGGGCCACAGAGAGTCAGGAACATTATATCAGTTTTTCTTGAAAATAAAAAAAATGGCTTTTTTTTAATCGGCTGAAACGTGAAAAAATAAGGGGACTTTTTTGAGCGTTCCGGCGCTTTGGAGGCGATAAATCGAGCTAAAGTTGACAAAATCCTATGACGGTATACATTTTCTGAAAGCTGTCGTCACGCTGAATACGCTCGTTTAACCCGCGTTTTTCAAAATTTCTTGGTTTTCGAGTAATAAATCTGGGAAAATTTTGCAGGTTTCTAACTTTGACCCCCCCCCGCCGCGTCTCCCCAAAATTTTTTTGGGGGGGGGGGCTTGAAACTTTGGGAAAAGATGGGGCATTGTTAGGTGAATGAATGGGGCAAGTCTCAAGGTATCCAACCCGAGCCCCAAACGGCCCGTTTTGCACGTAGTCCTTTCAAGGTAGGCAACACGAGATTCCACGTGATCGAATGGCGGTATTGTCGTCGTGATATGACAGTTTGCCTTCAATTACTAGTGTAGGCAACACAAGCTCCTACGTGGTCGTAGAGTGGCATCATCGCCCGTGCAATAAACGTTCTCGGTCTCCGAATGTGTTTTTATGTCATGTTGGGTCCGCGTTTGTCAGTAAAGTAGTTGCTCCTCTTAACTGCTATTCATTAAGCTGTTTTTATTTTTTGTTAATTCCCGTCCGAGCTCATGAACATTTAAAAAGGAGAGATGAGGATAACGATTATGATGCTGATACTGATGCTGATGATGGTCCTGAAGAAAAAGGAGAACAACGAACGGTACAGAACAAGAGGAGTGACAGAAAATAAGCTAAAATATATTTAGAGAGAAGGAGAAGATATAAAAATGGGAGAATCTCACAGAAAAAAGAAATGAAAAGTAAAAAGAAGAAAGCAGTGAGAGGGAGATTGAAATAAAATAAGACCGTGGAAACAGTGGAATAGCTGTTTAATCGTAAAATTGCACGGTTACTTGGAACGTTTTTAAAAAATAGCATTTCACCAAACTGGAGAAGATTAAATGTACGTCATTTCATTTCGCCTTCAATTTCAGTGTAGGCAATAGGAGCTTCCGCGTGGTCGAATAGCGGCATCGTCGTGAAATGGTACGCTTACTTAGGCAAAACAAGCTCCCATGTGGTCGAATAGTGGTATTATCCCCGAGAGAATATCGGTAAAGAATAAAGGTAATGCTTCCCGTTATTAAAGTAATAATTTTTGGTGAAGCATCTTGACCCGTGACTTCAGTCACGGGCTTTCCGCTAGTATAGTGTAGATATCAGAAACAGTAATTTATGAATTCAAGTAATTATTATAGTAATTAATTTGGACTTCCAATGTAATGGGGAATTTTTAAGCGTTTTCAGAAACTGTGAGAAAGGCAAAGCAAAGCCTGACCCCCTCCCCCTCCACATCATCTGGACAGTCAAAATGTTATTTTTGCATTCGGAAATGCCCTTCAGAATTACTCACTGACGGCTGTCGAAAAAACAACGTTAAAGAAAAATACCCCCTGAAAACCCGAAGTTTTCAAAAATGTATGCAATTTTTGGCTCTTGGGGCTTGTGCAATACTCAATCAAAGAAAGGGACAACGACTTCATTCCACATTCAACTATGAGTTTTTTTAATAATCTTAGGTTAGGAATATATCAGCTGATGAGTTAACAAGGCTCATTTTAGGCCCCTAAAATTCATCGTATGGTTAAAATTGGTACTTAAAGTGATCGGAGGCTTAAAATATGCATATTTAAGAAACTTAGGCATTATATCCACGAAGAAAAATGTTTTAAATATGACGGGCCTTGCTATGGGTGATTTAAAATACCTTTAAATCGACTTTAGTTTCAAGAATTTTTCTCTTTTTGGCCTCAGTGACTGAGAAGACACTCTGTTTCAAGAACCTGAAGACTTTTTGCTTGTGACTCGTCAAAAAATTTAAACTCGTTCTACCAAGCCGTGCATAATTTTGCCGAGCTGCGCGGCATGCTGTCCGTTTCATTAACAGCAGCGTTATTGTAAATCCGAGAGTGAAGCTGCTTTTACGTCAGCAGCACTGCTGTGATAGCGAAGAGAGCAGTAAGTGTCAACTTACTTTTGAATGAAGAGAAAAGTAACGGTAAGATTTTTGAAACGATACTTAAGTAAATACAGAGAAGCTGATGACTCACCTTTTTTATGTACAAAGATGAAATCATCCAGACCTATCTGACCACCTAAAAGTTTCGTCATATCTACTTTGTGAGTATTTAAAGTGCAAAAAAGAATCTGTAACAAACAAAAAATGAAAAAAAAACTCTAGAAAAAGCAATCCCTTCCATTTTTTAGGTTAAGAAAGTATGAGGAGAGAAAGTAATGCGAATGAATGTAAACAGAAAGCTTTAAAAAATCTTGAAACTGGAAAGGCACTTTTCATAGCTTTTTAACTGAAACATTCGCATGGTTCAGCAGTGAAATTGATGATGAAATTTCAAGTGCAGGTACTTAAATACATATTTTTTTCATAATTCGTACTGGATTATATAGCCCATGCAAACTTGTTGATCATATCATAATATCAAAAATTAACGTGAAATGGACCCGATTGGGCAGGTGCTATCTGCCCCGTTCAAATCTTCATTACTTCATAAACTTCATCCTATAATGAGTAAGTGTTCTGTATTGTTTTGCAAGTCTAAAAAAAAAATTTTGTAAGTCACCCCAAATGGTTCAAATGGATAACTTCATTTTGGGGGGGGGGGGGCTGGAAAAATGGTATCCTTCCACTTCGCGATCGATAAATTCTGACAATGCCAACTAGTCCAGTCATTCTAGCTTTTTACCTCGGACAAATTAGCAAAAACTTTTCCTTTGGTATATAGGGTCTCTAGGTACTCAATAAGACAGGAAAAAAAATTTACCAAAAAATTCCACCGGGAAAGTGGTCAAATCGCAGTTTTTCAAAATGGCGGCTTACGACGATTTTCAAAGAGGACGTACATACGGTTTTACCTTTATAACCCAAAAATAATGCGTCATACAAAAAAATTGCAAGAGATCAGATCGAAAGATCATAAAATTTTGTTTAAGAATCATATACAAAATTTGGGCTTTTCTTATTTTTTTCTTTCCGAATTTTACTATTTGAAAACAACAACCGGCAAAGTCTGCTGAAAATTCACAATTTTTCGCGTTCTTGACCAATTTTAGGTCAAAATAATGAATTTAAGGTTAAAAAAAACGACACCACTGAAAAGTACGCTAAATTTAACGTAAGTATACTTATTCATTTTAACTTTTCATCTTTTATGACATCATTGTGAGACGAATCATTCAAAAGCATGAAGTCAATATTCAACAAAAAATTCAGCTGTTTTTTTCCGTTTCCAGCGCTTTTGATCAATTATTTTTCGACAGAAGTATAACTTATATATCGACGGTGAAAGTCGGCAATCACATAACTCGGTTTGCGACGTCGCAGACTACCTGTCATACTTTATTTTTTAAATGGAGAACTACTCAACGGCAATTCTTTAAAACTGTCATGATATTTCTTCTCAATGCGAAGACAATTCTGCAAAAACTTCAATAAATAATATCAATTTGTTCTCCTTTAAAAAAATGACGTAGAGGCGGAGATTTTCGGACACCGCAAACGAGTTATGTGATTGCCGACTTTCACCGTCGATATACTTTTTAGAAAGGTAATAAAATTTGCAAGACAAATAACACTCTGGTTTTCATTTAAATTTTACGACATGTGCCTGAAAAGCGTATATAAGGGAAGTACGCTAAAAACTGATTTCTCCAGAAATTTCAGAATTTGAACGATTTTTGGCATTTTGACAGTTGGAAACTGAGGATACGATTCAACAATGGTAATCATTGTTTAGAGCATAAAATTTCCGACAAATTGCATACCTGAAATTACTGGTTCGAATTTTTTAAAGAGGGTTAGATATGGCATTAAAGTTGTCTATTGGAAAACCCGGCTGCTCGGTTTTCAACCACTTTCTTAACCTATACTCAAAATTTTTAAGTTTAGTAATTTTTGTTTGAAGTAAATTTTATGGTACCAATGTAATAGCACATGAAAGTTAAAAAAATGTCCATGAATAAATTTTTGAAGGTATTTAAGTGTACTTACAAGCCAATTTTTGAGACGGTGAAAATTTACAAATTATTCAATAACAAGGCTTTTTCTCAGGTCTATGTGGTTTTTCATGGCTGCAAACAATTTTTTTCATCAAACCATGGTAATCATCAAAAAGCTGATAAAATTTCATGTAAGAAAAGTACCTTTATTTGTATTTTGGCGTCTTTCATGAAAATGTGGAGGCAATGTTGAAAAAATTTGCAATTTGCCTGAAAAAAATTTTCCCGCGATTTTTCTTATTTTTTACGTGTTAAAAGGAGTTTAAGAAAAAAAACAAGGTAAGAAATGAAAAGCTCATAAAATTTCCTATAACATAGGGCTATTGAAGTTTGCCGTAAAGTCTTTGTGAGGGGTCCTAGCAGCCTAGCACTGAATTTTGGTTTAAAAAAAGTTTTAAAAAAATGGATGAAATTTAATTTTTTAGTTATTTTTGAGATTTTATCGCTTTAAAATGAGCTTTAAAGTTAAAATGAATGATGCAACTGAAAAGTACGTTAAATTTTGGTCTAGGAAAATGTGTTTAATATCCTTTTAGGTAATTATATTTGCCGGTAGGATAATTTCTTCTGGGATCAAAACGGACGCTTTTCTGAAAAAAGTCCATTTGTAGCTCCATTTTCCTAATTTTTAATCATTTAATTTAGAGGGGTTTGATCAAAAAACCACTGTTACCACGTAAAAGTACATAAAATTTACAATAAGATTAGGTACCTTGTTTCAAAAATTTCGATATTTTTTGTGTTTGACACGGCTTTATTTAAAATTGTCAAAAATGGCAATATTTACAGAAAGTTGATTTTCTATGCAAAGAACCATCCCTTTATTGGACTGGGCTGTATAATGAAGGCAGCTCGGGGAGCGGGTCTTTTCGCGTTGGAGGAATCAATACTAACACTAATAATTATAATAAATTCAATACAACATTGAAAGTTTGGAACCTTTGGGCGGTCAACTCTTGCGTAAGCGCAAATAAGGATTAAAACGCGAGTACAGGTGTCAATGCGGGAAGGGGATGTCAACAGGGGAGACGAGTAGCACCTGTGCTTTAGGTGACGTAACACAGGCTCGTGTGACTTTATGCCCGGCTTTTCTTTTGAATGAAAAGTTCATTAATTGAAAGTTTACCGACCTACCTCCTGTCGTCTGCTTTTCGATCGCTACGAGAAAGGAATCGAACTCAATCTTCAACGGGTGAGTAAAGTCAAAGTATTGAATCTACTTCTACATTTTTCTAAAATCTGTGATTTGTTATAATAAGTCCAGAATGAACCTTTCAATATATTCAATAAGTATGCGGGCCTGCTTGCCTGTGTTGTTTACTAAATAAGATGTGAGATCTGGTTCACCGAGATCAGGAAACCTGTGTTGCTAAAGCCAATTGTAAATCAATGAAACATGTTAGCAAAAAGGAAGCGGAAAATGAAGATAATTAGTAATTCAAATAGTCCTTTCTGAAATGGCTTAACTGATGTAAGAATGAAAAATTCCCCTCTTTTTCCTCCACCGGATTATCAATCCATCTATCATTGCAACAGGGAAACAATGAATCGATTCTGATGCGTAGTAAAAGAGAATAGGTAAGGGTTTTCGAGAACTCGTTGGCTTTGAATCTCAACTAAGAACTGAAAGTAATGACATATTGTGAGGAAGTAAATTTTCAAAACAACTTGAGTATGAAAGTTTAAAAGGCCGTTTTCTCTGGCATTGCCTCTATAATTTTGTTGCATCTTGGAGAGTAGGTATTCTTCGATGAGGTAAAATAGTGCGTGTCATCCTCAGCTTATGAGAGCATTTCGACATTTCGACAAAAATTATATAAATTATATGAAGCCTCATGGTGGAAAGAAAGTTCCAATTCACATGTTGATGCTTAAAAATTGGATTTTATCAGTGAATTTTTCACAGAATTTATTTCAAACCTAGATTTAGTTGAAGTCACTAATATGTCGATTTTTTCGAAAACTGCTCTTATGCGTCTTTTCCTTCAAGCCTCTCAATTACTTTTTTACCCTTTCTTATTAACTTTTTATGTCATCAAACCGAAACCGACAAACTTTGGTAAAAATACTGGGTAATACTTAGTGTCTTGAAAATAAGTCGATAAACAGGTATTTTACAAATTAGGGCCGCCATCTTTTTTCCGCCATCTTCTTGCCGACATCTTGAATTTTGATTTTGACTACAATTAATATCAAATTTAAAATGTACAGGTCAAAATACCAGGGTATGCTGAGTTTCATGAAAATCCGCCGATAAACAAGTAGTTTCCAAATTATGGGCGCCATCTTTAATTTTTAAAAATTATGGCCACCACCTTCTTCCCGCCATCTTTGATTTCAATTCTGGTTAGAACCGACATCGAATTCAAATTCTCTAGGTCAAAATATAGGGTTTTACTAAGTTTCATGCAAATCAGTCGATAAACAGGTATCTAACAAATTACTGCCGCCATCTTTTTTTCCGCCATCTTGAATTTTGATTCAGACTGAAAGTAACGTCAAATTCGAATTTCCTAGGTCAGTATACCGGGGCACACCAAATTTCATGAAAATCTGCCGACAAATAGGTGTTTTACAGTTTTTTTCTTAGAATCGTTAGCTGCGATAGTCTAAACAGCGAACGGATCAGATAAGCCGCCCCCCCCCCCCCCCGGTTGACCATCCCTCTAAGGTGCTTCTCCCTTTACTATGTACCATGGCTATCAAATTAATAACAAAATTTATTTCAAAAATAGTCGAATATTCGTGAAAAAGGTTCACACTGGTCGAAATTCCAGCCAAAATTTACAAAAAGTAAAAAATGTCCAATTTGACACCATTACATAGAGGCCCTATAAAGGTCTTTTACCTTCAGTTAAATTTTGATGTAGTATGTGTTTTCAAAAGAAAATTTCACGCTCTTTTCATTGGTACCAACAGTTTTGAGAGAAAAAATTCTTCCATTGCTGTATCCTAAAAGTTACAAACCAAACTTGAAATTTCAAGAAAATTCTAGCCTTTTTTTGGTGTCTGACCTCGTAGCTCGGCACCAACAAGTCAAAATTAAAAAAAACTAACATATATTCGTGAGCAGAATTTTATACTCTAAAAAAACAACAAGAATGATTTTTTTCACTGGATGCACTAGAATCACG